TAACAATCTAAGTATCTAACAAGTAACAATAATTCAACAACTAATTTCAAGGTAAACAACTATTAACTTCATCTAAACGATAAGAAATTTAAACAAAAAAACAACTAATTTGAATAATTTAATAAACCTAAGAATATAAATACTTGTTTCATTGTAGGTTTGAAGAGAGCAAAATCAAAATAGCTCGGAGAGTTGGAGCAAAATCGAAATGTCTGGCAGCTTGGGGTTAAAAATCGGATTTTTTCCCCGTTTGCATCGTAGCTTCTCTCTAAGGAGTTCCCTTTCTTTTCTTTACAGCTTTGTGCTTCAGCATTAGCAGACCATAGACAAGCCATAAGTCCATAACTAGGGAATTGGGTATTGGAATATTTGATTTAAGTGGGCTAATGTTTTATTTCCAGCTTTGTGGGCTAATGTTTTTTTAGCTAATTTTTTTTTATTGTTTTGGGCTAGTATTAGTTTTACCATGTCATGTTTTTTTTTTACTAGTGACACTTATATTTAGAGCTGTTGTTCATATATATATATATATATATATATATATATATATATATATATATATATAGGGCTAAATTGATGCCTTCGTTTTTCCATTACCGGTGGACAGCCTATGGCCAACGCAAGCCAGATACCGCGGATCAGCCCACAACACTTCCTAATTATGGCCTTCAATAGAAGGTCATTAAATGATAGTTTCAGTTTCTCCTTTCTTTTTTTTTTTTCTTTTTTTTTTTTTTGTGATTAGCTAAACCTTTGACCAAAGGAGAACTTTTTTGCTTGTAATATTTACCGATGGGAAACACTAAAATCTTAGGATGTTAAAGATCGGCTCTTGTTTACCTTTTTAAACACTTTTTAAGCTATTTATGAAGCTTCAACCATTGGATACCATTTGCTCATTGGCTTTTTTCACATTTTTCACATTTCATTGGCTTTTTTCGTTCTTTTTATTTTCTCTTACATGTTATGGTCACACTTTTAGTTCTTGTAACATGCATATTTATATCTTTTCGCACCATATAAACGGTTATTAAATTGATGAAAAAAAAAGTAACAGACATCATATGCTCTTTGACCTGCCAAAAGATAGTAACCGATAAATAACCCAATTAAATTCGAAAGATTAAATATAAGACACGAGAATTTACAAAGTAAATAGTTAGAGTATAAGAGAAGAAAAGAAGCACAAATAAATAAATAAATAAATAAATATCCGACAAATTTAAGGGGGTTGTTTTTTTGTTTAAAACAAAATACCAAATCAATTTAAATATGTCAAAGACATGATGGATGAGGGCAGCAAACTGATTTTCTTTATATTTGTTCACCAAATCTGATTTAATATCATGCATTTTTTACACAAATTTCACTTGTAACTTATGAAGAAAAAAAAATCTAATAAGAAATAGGGTTTGTTTTTAGAGACATTGGCTTCAACTGCTTTCTTTGACATTCAAAAACTATTAAAAACACATTGACACAATCATCATCGTGTACGCATGCATGGCCATAGCTCTCAACTTCATTTTTATTCATATTTAAACAAGATAAACTAATTTCTTCCCTTTCGTTAGTACGGTAAAAAAAAATTAAGATTAACTTCGATACTTTTCTTTCCTTTTATTTCATTATAAGAAAAAAAATGTGTTTCAGGTTACGAGATACTTAAATAAATGAAGTGGTTTATATTAATATAAACTTAAACGAGTTTCACGAGTCAAGTCAACCCTCGTGAAGGGAAAATGTCATTTTTCATAACTCAAAGTCGAAACATGCTTTATTTTCAATCATAACAACTAAAAAAGCTACTATAGTTTCCATATAATTAGATAACTGTTATTTATGTCGAACTAGATTCGGTTAGGGAATTGGTAACAATAAGTTCCATTAAAAAACCCTAAGTTTGTAGTCAAAATCTAAATATTGTTTGGAGAGCAACAAAACCAAATTATTGTAAGAGTCCCTACATTAGCATGCACCAATGGCTTATCATCATTTCTAGAAGTAGAATGTCCAACTAAAGACAAACAAATTCAACTTTTAACCATCACTGCAAAGTAAAAGATAAAAAAAAAAATTATAATAAAAGTCTACGAAAAAAAAGAAAAGAACTTCTTCCTTTGGTCAGTCTTGATAGATTCTCTCCCTCTATCTAATTAACTTTAGAGTAAATTAGAGTTTTGGTCTAGAATATAGAATTAAAATGACCATTTTTGTTGCATGAGTAACTGATTTTACAAATTTGGTACCAAAATGTAATCATTTTACTTGGGAAAGGAACCAAAAACGATTACAAAAATCTCAAAAGCATGAAAATTGCAAGAAAAAAACTATTTGGGATCAAAATTTGAAAAAATCAACTATACTAAGTGACCAAAATTGTGATATAGTATATTTGAAGCAGGTGTGAGTGAAGTAAGAGTTGAAGAGAAAACATCTCCCAACAACTTATTATTAGAAATCCAAAAGTAAAGTGAATCATGAAAGCTGACAAACATAATACACCTTCATAAATCCTTTTCTTCTTCTTCTTCTTCTTCGTCTTCCAACTTTTACTAAAAAATATAAAAAATATTTTCCATAAAAATAAAAATAAAAAATAAAAAGAACCTTTGTTGAAGCATTAAAAAGCCCCCCTCCCTTCTATCATTTTCTCACTTCTTCTTTACACATTCTTCTCTCAAAGTGTAAGCAAAAATGGCCAATTCTTCAAAGCATGGCCTAATAAGCTTACTATTCCTTTGTATTTTTGCTCATAACATGCTTCATGTCATGTCCCAATGGCCTAAAGGTGGATCAACAAGATACTACGACTTCAAGGTCTCTCTCTCTTTCTATTCCTATTTCAATTTCTATTTTTCTTTATGATTCTCTTTTCTGTTTTTTTTTTTTTTCAATTTAACTGATTTTGATAATTAAAAATTATGTTTATTAGGTACAAATGTTAAAAGTCAACAAACTTTGTCAAACGAGAGAGATAGTAACCATCAACCAGATGTACCCTGGACCAGTTGTGTACGCCCAAGAAGATGACAGAATTATCGTAAAACTCACAAATGAGACACCATACAATACCACAATTCACTGGTATACTATTTTTTTATTTATTAAATCTGATTATCTTTTTTTTTTATATACACATAGAAAAAATCTAATTTACGTTAATGATTGAAATATTTACATCAGGCATGGTGTGAGACAGATTCTAACTTGTTGGTCAGATGGACCTTCTTATATCACTCAATGTCCTGTTCAATCTGGTCAAACTTTTACGTATGAGTTTACTTTGGTCAAACAAAAAGGTACCCTTTTCTGGCATGCTCATTTTTCATGGCTTAGAGCAACTGTTTATGGTGCAATCATCATCTACCCTAAAAAAGGAGTCCCTTACCCTTTTAAATCTCCTTACGAAGAGCACACCATTATCTTAGGTCAGTGATTTTTAATTTATATACACAATATTAATCAAAATCAAATTTTTACAAGTATCATTTTTACTTATTAAGGGGAGTATTGGAATTGGGATCTTGTGCAACTTGAGAATAATGTGACAGCTAGCGGCGGTGGTGCTCCGGTGGCGGATGCGTACACCATCAATGGTCACCCGGGCCCCAACTACAACTGCTCAACAAATGGTAATTGTCCATATATGGGTTCAATTCATCAAATTTCAAAATATCTTACATTTTCCCCATAGAAACACGTTGAATTATTGTTGTTTTTTTTTTTTTTTCAAAAACAGATGTGTTCAAGATTGATGTAGTACCCGGGAAAACCTACATGTTAAGAATAATCGGTGCTCTTCTAAACATGGAAAGCTTCTTCACGATTGCTAACCATAAGTTAACCATAGTTGAAGCAGATGGAGAATACACAAAACCATTCACCACAGATCGAGTCATGTTAGGGCCAGGTCACACCCTAAATGTCCTAGTCACAGCCAATCAGAAAATAGGAAGATATTCCATGGCAATGGGCCCCTACATGTCAGCCCAAAATGTCGCATTTCAAAACATAACATCAATCGCATACTTCCAATACATAGGCGCCACACCAAATAGCGTCACATTACCCGCTCCTTTACCTAGATTTAATGATAATTTAGCTGTTAAAACGGTTATGGACGGGTTAAAAAGTCTAGAAGTTTCCAATGTCCCTAAAGAGATAGACACGAATCTTTTTTTCACAATCGGGCTTAACGTCAACAAATGTGGATCAAAAACACCGAAGAAGAATTGCCAGGGTTTGAATGGTGGTGTCATGGGAGCTTCCATGAACAATAATAGTTTCATTAAGCCGAATTTTTCGATTCTTGGAGCTTATTATGAGCATGTCAATGGTGGGTTTACTGAGGATTTTCCTGGGTCGCCTTTGAAATTTTATGATTTTGTTAATGGAGCGCCTAATTCGGCTCCTAATGACACGGGATCCGTTAATGGGACGAGAACAAAGGTTATCGAATATGGAAGTCGGGTCCAAATTATTTTACAGGATACGGGTACAGTTACTACTGAAAATCACCCGATTCATCTTCATGGGTATAGTTTTTATGTGATTGGATATGGTAGTGGGAATTATAACCCGCAAACTGCTAATTTTAATTTAATGGACCCACCTTACATGAACACGATTGGGGTGCCTGTTGGTGGATGGGCTGCGATCAGATTTGTTGCTGATAATCCAGGTAAAACACAAACTTTATTAAAAAAAATTAAAACATATAAATTATTTTTGAGGTTTATGTTTTTTAATGTTGTTAGGGGTTTGGTTTATGCATTGTCACTTGGAGATACATATGACTTGGGGATTAGCGGTTGCGTTGGTGGTGAAGAATGGTGTAGGACCAATGGAGACGCTTCCTCATCCTCCAGCAGATATGCCTCGTTGTTAGTTAAATAATTAGGTTGTCATCTTTAAATCAAGTAAAAGATTTTACAAAACAAGTGTGAATTAAGTACTTAAGTGTGATTTTCAATTTTTAAGAATATATCGTGTAAAAAAGCTCATGTTTCAGTGAATAAAATTGAAAATTTCAACCAAGTGTAGTTGGGGAGAGTTAGTGTGCCTAAACTATATAATAGTATTATGTATAAAAGCTAAAGAAATCAAACCTTTTTTATTTTATTCAGATCATGAAGATGAACGTGTTATAACTTATAACTTATACATCATAGTGACAGTTGATAAAGATCATGGGTTGACTCTGTCTGAACTCCAACAGCTCTCTTCATTGATGTTCTTCCTAGAGAATGCTATCCTCTCGTTACTCTTCAAATTCACATAATCAACCTGAGTACAAAACAAATTCTTACAATTATAATGAGTAGAATAAATAACATACAAATAAATATATGAGCAGAAAATAATTTGGACCTGATCAGGGTCAAGAAGGAGCAAGCAATAAGCTGAAACGGGTCCAGCTGAAGGGTCCAATGAAGTTGGCACCTCGGTTGATTGATCACCTAAAGATGGAAGCCCTGGAGTTGGACCCAGATATTGGAGCCTCGATTTTGGTGAACTAGCAAACCAAGCTGTCTCTCTTTGCTGTATCATAGATTCCAAAGATGATCAAGAACACGTACATTTGTAGCGATTGTTTCAATTGTTTCAATTGTTTCAAATACTAACACAATTTGTCAATTTGAGACAAGGAAATCATAAAACAGAGCTACCTGAAGTTTCATGGGGTCAGGGTTTGATCCATCAATGACATCGACTTTACCATTGATCCGGAATTGTTCCCACGAATCGGTAAAATACCAACAAATCTAAATCATAACGAATCCATTTAGAATATGAGAAATAAAGGGAGACTTAGGGAATCAAAGTGTACATACTTCAGCAAATGGGCATTGTTTAAGATCTTCAATCTGCAGTTAAATTTTTCACAAATCAATACCCTAGTTTTTTATATATATACTGAATTCACCTCTGATTAATATTTCTAAGCTGAAACAATCAACCTTGTGACTTCTGCAGTCCGTGTTGATTTGAATTTTATTGCTAGTATCTGCAAATCCCCTACATAACAGCAAACGCCCAAATTTCGTAACACATTAACACCAAAAATCGTGTGTGTCTCTGTGTGTAATACCTGAAAACAACGGTGCGATTAGCAGGTCTTCCATTGGATCCTATTGTTGCCTGTAAACCCCGAAATTGAGAGCAAGGTTATTCCGATAGAAGGTGTTTGGATAAAAAAGAAAGAAAGAAAGACGATGCCTTATGGATATATCATATATGTACGTACTAGTTGAAGATAGGAAGAGTGGCGGAGGTGGGAATTGGACTGCAGTGCGTTGAGAAGAAGCTGTTTCCATGGCGCTGTTACTGTGCCCATATCTAATCAGTGCTCCTCCGAAGCGTCTGGTTTTACTACATCGACTCTCGGAGTCTCGGTTCCTAAATGACATTTTTAAATAATTGAAGGGTCTAAAAAGCTTCCTAATAACAATTAAGAACCCTAACCAAACCAAATCTATATGGTGTTTTTAATCAACTAACCTGGTTTTGGAGTACAAGTACTTCAAGTCTAGTACAATTAGTTAGGAGTTTAGTATAATTACCGGTTGCTGTCACGAGTAAATTGAAGTTTGAGATTATCTTGTTATGTGATCCACTCGGTAGTCTTCCTTGTTGGTTGAGTCAACTCAGCAAACTTTTTATGAGCTTGGTATTATGGAGTTAGCTCGACAAACATCATTGCTAGACAGTCCAACTCGGTAAAGCCTTATAAAGGAGAAAGTATTTCTTTATCATCATTTTCAAATTGAAGTTTGGGATTCTCTTGTTAGGCTGTGGGATCCGCTCGGTACACTTCCGTATTGGCTGAGTCAGCTCAGCAAACTATTTTTAAACTTAATATTGGTTGAATCAGCTCGACAAATGATGTTGTTAGATAGTTCAACTTGGTAAAGCCTTATAGAAAAGAAAGTCTTTCCGTTAATTTTTTTCCTTATCTTCTTCCCAATTTAGCAAAACCCACCTCTTCTTTGTGAGGTGGATTTCAATTTTATCAAAAATGCCACACAACAATAAATAAGCAATTTGGCACATGGAAGTTTTTTAGTCAATTTTGGACCATATTTGTGTGGCCAAACTTTACCACGATATTCTAATGTCTATAGCCACTTAAACATTGCAAAGCATAATCTAAGTTTTGAAAAAGGTTATCATGGCAAACCAAGTGACTAACCCAAATTTAATTGAACTCTTTGTTAGTAAGGGAATAAATCATATTAGGGCTGTAAACGAACTGAACGTTCGGCGAACCGTTCGTGAACTGTTCAGCGGGAAGTTCGTTTATGTTCGTTTATTTAATAGATGAACGAACATGAACAAAAATTATCGTTCGTTTAGTTAAATGAACGAACATGAACAATGGTCTCGTTCGTTCATTTATGTTCGTGAACGTTCGTTTATGATGTTCATTTACGTTCATTTATGTTTGTTTGTTTAAGTTTATTTATATTCATCTATATTCAATTATTTTTTATTATATTGTTATATTATATGTTCGTGTATGTTCATATATGTTCAATTGTGTTTTTTTTATCCTTGTTCGTTTATGTTTGTTCGTTTATGTTCGTTTAGCATGTTCACGAACATAAATGAACGAACATGAACAAAGTAATTTGTTAAACGAACGAACATGAACAAGAAAATCTCGTTCGTTTATCCGTTCGTGTTCGTTTGTTGTTCGGCTAACTTAAACGAACGAACATGAACAAGACCTTGTTCGTGTTCGTTTGGTTCGTTTACAGCCCTAAATCAGATGATGTAAAATGCATGTTTTTATGGTTTATAGTTTATTACTAAATAGATGTGTTGTTCTTTATAGTTTAACTTAGAATAAGGTGGGTTTTGGCAAGATCCAGATTTCAAACCCGAAATTTAACTAGATTTCATCCTTGGAAATTGTAGTTTTTGTCTTTTTCCAATAATAGCTTCTTTTATCTTTATTAGGGTTTAAGGTTTAGTGTTTGTATAAGATTGAATTGATCCCGAACATAACAAACACAAGGGATCAAGGAGAATAGCCTCTTGCAATGGTGCCTCTGACTCTGAATGATCGTTGTAAAAAAAACAAAAAAAAAGCCAAACATAATTATAAAAAGTCAACTTTTTGAAGATGAAGAAAACACAGACATGAATCTCCAAGATACAATAAAGTTCCACTATACAGAGGTGAATCTTTCATTTTTATTTTCAATATCAATCAGTGCATTTGTAGAAGAGGAATGCAGCAGCATAAACAAAAATGATAACCTTTCCAATCTTGACTTTATATTACCCGTTTCAGTACAAAGGAGAGTGAACAACTTCCAAACATGATGAACATTGAACAACAACCTATTAATACCACTCACATATCTCCATTAATCCCAAAGATTCTGACTTTATGCATATTAGGGAACTTGGCAACAACAAGCACAATCACAGCAACTGTGTTTAAAAACAGCATTGGGTGTTGGTAATCTGTTGTGTGTGAAGCTATCAAATACCTGCAACTCAAACAAAAACAACACCCATCACATATTTCAATATGTAAAAGGTAAATGTTTACAGTTTACTTAATCAGAAATCAGAAATCACCATTGTAGCTTAAATAATGTTTACTTACAGAACAACAGGAACGACTGTTAAAAACTTTCTGTTTCTAGTGAGCTGTTTTCCATTGTCGATCTGTTCCCACCATGTCAGCCTGTTGTAAATCCCTTGGTCTTCTGCAAATGGAGTCCCTTTCATCCAATGGAAAAAGTGATAAGTGACCTAATAAGAAACAGGACTTAGACATTCATCATAGATACAAAACACTGAAAACTAATCGGATCAATATAATAGAAAGCCATAAGAAACTGAAAGATCTCATCTTTCAGCTATCCCTCGATCTTAATTGATGATTAGAAAACCCTAAATACGAAATAGAGAAAATTCAACACCGGTAGGGCTTCACGATCTCATTGGCTTACATATGCCAAAAACGAAATCGAACACATCATATTTCAGTAATTTTTCCAAATTGTACCATAATTGTATTGGATGTCATTGATTTACTAACAAGATTGAATTCAATTTTCTATAATAAATTTTAGATCGAACACCTAACAGTAACCCTCAAAACCAAATCGAATTGAGATGCAGAAAGAAGACAAATCATCTGTCTTTCAATGAGATGGAATAGTATTTAAATTTTGAGATTAAGATAGAGAGAGGTATAATTACGAGGAAGTGGGAGAGATTAACAATGGTCCAAGCCATGCCAGGGGTGCAACCAGAAACGGAGAGAATGAGAAGCCATGAAAAGAACAAGATGAAGATGTAGGTTGTCCATACTCCTGGGTACGTGAACCAGTCGGTGTTTCTGTTCAGATCCGTCGTCGGTGTCGCCTTCACGTACATCTTCTGTGATTCCTTATCAACTTCACCAAGATTTCCTTGATGAAATGGAGAGGATGAGAAGCAGTTATTCCCAAATCAAATGAATGATTAAAATCAAAAATCCCACGGAAGATGTGCCTCGAAAAACACCAAGAGACGTTACGAACCAAAAACTCTCTCTCTCTCTCGTGACGGAACAGGGGCTGATGAGGGCTGATCCTGATCGTGATATTTTTGCAAAATGTGGAGATCGATTAACAAGGACAAAGCTAACACCTAAACTAGCCTATGAAAAGTCAAAATGCATCTAATAGCAATTAATATTTAAAATGTCTACAAGGAGCTATTTATTAAAATTAGAGTTATTAAAATGACGGTAGTTGAAGGTCTATTTAAAATGTTGAATAAGTTATAGTCTTGGTCTATGTGGTTTACACAAAATAATATTTTTGGTTCTATTTTCTGGGGGAAAGTAACACCATTCGACCTTATTTCACTATTTGATATCACCATTGTTCCCTTGGACCATTACACTATTAAATATTTTAAAATGTCACGTTACCCTCATACCAACCGAGTAAAAACATATAACATACGAACCACATTTGTATAAAACTCAAAACTTGAAAAACATACCTTAAATGTCGTTATGGAAGGTGAAAGTTGTTGACTTGAGGTCGGGCTCGATTATTTCTGAATAAGACTCCTATTTTACTCTCAACGCCAAAATGAGAGTCATTTTAGTTAACTGGAAAACTGATGTCCACCAAAAATTCAAACTCATGCTCGAAATCTTTACCTCACGGTCAATGATTGACTGATACCTCTCAATGCGAACAGTTCCCCGAAGAGAACTTAAGTTGGTTGGCATCAGTGTAATGTTGATTGCTTGTAAGTATGAAGAAATTTGGCCGCCTGAAGTGAATGATGTGATCGTGATATCGAATAACACGTATACAAGGGAACATATTTTAGGAATGGTGAAAGCGATTCTTGGTATTTTTAGGGTGGTATTTGATTGTACATACATCGTATGTGTTTCTTGTTAGGTATACGAAAGCTTTTGTTATTGCTGATAATGAGGTATATTTTTGAAAAGAATTCAGTTTTTCATAATTGTGAATTATGAAAATTTGATGTTTCTCTTTTTTGTGGATTTAGATGGAGAATATGGTGTTTTTCTTGACTGACATTACTCGATTATTATGAGGAATAATCCTTTGAAGTTTGTTACTTTTGTTGTTTATGTTGCTAGGTGTACGATAAGACTGTTGCTTGGAATGGGACACTCAAGTATCATATTGGGTACCCTTACACCAAGAGTACATGCATGATAATTGGGTAGGGCTCAATTATTTCTTGAAATTGATATTGGATTAACGATAACTAAAATCTTAGTTATCATTGTATAATGAATGAGATGACAAAACGGGCAACAAACTGCGTCGTTAAGTCTTTTTGTATGGTAAAACCAATTCTTTTGAAGACTACATCCATAGATCTAGGGGATATAACATTATTATGCATGATCCATTATAGTCTATTAAGAAGCGTCACCACATCTGGCATGAGAAAAAAATGGTATGAAAACGTGTTGATTTTCCATGCTTGATTTTTCATGTTTGGTGACTTTGCTTGTAGCAGCTTTTAAAATAGCATGTCCCGCCGTAAAACCCCCTACCCTCAAGACCACGAGAATGGATACCCCAGAAAGGTCGACACATGTATGTTTCCTCCAACCTATCCAAAAGTCAAGACTTCAGTCTATCTCAGGGTTGATCATCCTTCTTTCAGGTCAGTCAAGAAATTCACAGTACCTCTTTATTGGCAGAAACCCTATCACGCTTTAATATGTCAAACAAAACAGTGAGTGTGTGAATGATATTGTAGTAATCTTCATGAATGAGTTTATGTGACAACCTGAAATTTATTTCGTTGCTGTAACCCATTTCCGTTAATAAAACTCGTTTTTATTAAATTTTTCCGTTAACATTTTGGATTAGGCAAATTAAATTGAGACATTTATTATGACTTAATAAGTGTCGAAACGAAATAGAAACACGTGAAACGCCCTCGATATTCCTTTGAAAAGTTTCTAGTTTACGACTAAGTCGGGTTACGACCATTTAATCGGGTATGACCATAAACTCCGTTTAACGTCGGGATCGGGTGGATCCCCACCAGGCCGCAAACTCAAACCCTATATAAGGGTTGAGTGGCCTTCATTTGAGCCTTTTTCCCACTCCTAAAACTTTCTCTCTCTACTCTCTCTCTCTCTACAAGTTGGATTTTGGTCAAGAAACACCTCATTCAAGCTTCAAAATCGTAAGTAATCCTTCCTAGCTTGTTGTTTAACTTTGTATCCATGCAAATTCAGGGTTGAATCATCCAAATACCTCAAAACTTGTGTTTACGGTTGGGGAACACCTCCCACAACCGTAAACTCCCATAAGGGGGTTTTGAAGCCCCAAAACCCCTCCAAAACCATTCTAATGGTTATTTATGACTTAGAAACTTGCATGCATGAACTTAGAACCCCAAAATCATGTCTTTATGGGAGTAAACATGAGTTACGGTCCATGAACATTCATGAACCGTAAACACCTTTTTAAGGTGTTAAAATGTAACAGCTCGTCATTTCAAGTCAGTAAAAATCGAGTCATGTAACCTCTTTGAGAAAGGAATTAGAATATCATCAAAAAATGAAGTATTCAAAAACTCTATTTGGAGTACGCTATGTGGTAGGTATCGTCTTAAGGTTTCCAAACATATAAATAACACAAAAATCCGAGTTATAACGAAGAAGTTATGACCATTCTAAGTTTTCCGACAAAAACCGACAATACGAAGTTACGTAAAAACGCAAAGTTTCAATAAAACACTTTCTGACCTTAGGTGTCTAAATGAAAGTCATAGATATCGTTAAACTACAAACGTGCATAAAAAGAACGCTCAAATCGGACATCGTATGAAAAAGTTATGAATTTTTAAGGAAATTCCTTAATCACGTCATTTTAATAAATAAATAATAAAAATAATTTCGGAATTTGCCGACGGAATCTAAACGAAAGTTGTAGATCTTAGTCTCACCTACGCGTGGATATAAAGAACGTCGAAAACGGAGTTCGTATGAAGGAGATATGAATTTTTGAAGTTTGATAAATAATTAATATATATTTTTATTCAAAAATTCGGTATTATCCGAAGCCTGAGTCACGCGCGTAAGCCCAACGTACACGAGTACGCCCAGCGTACTCGAGGCCACGGCCTCGGATCGCCCACGTCGCCCCTATGCGAGCCTACCCTCCCGTCCAGTCCGAAGCGCGATGCGGTCGAGGACTCGGTCACGCGTGACGTACGAGTACGTCCCGCGTACGAGGCGGTTCCAGCCCCTTATAAAAGGGATGCGAGGGTTCCCAGAAAAATGGCTCATTCTCTCTCTCTTTTCTTGCGTTTTGCCTCGTTTTCCGTGCTCGCACTACCCCGAAGCCCTGGTCATTTTGTGCAAGTCCCGAAGGTCGATTTTACTCCCGAGAATCCCGAAGAAAATCCGTTTCCCGAGACGAAACTCTGCCCGATTTTCCATCTTGATATCTTCAAACTTTCAAGTGAGTTCATACCCCTTTCAAACACACTTTAAATACATTTTAAATGCTTTTATACTCTTTTAGGGGGGAATACAAGTAATGATTTCAAAGTACTTTTCATGGTTAAGTCGTTTTATACATTCTAAAGACTTATGATTTATGCTTTGTTAAACATTGTGAAAAAGGATAAACTTCGCGTACAAAAACTATCACTTTAATACAGGGTTAGTTGAGAATCCATGAGACGTGTATATCTTCAAACGTTACTTTTCTTTATTAGAAAGTAATGCTGCAAGTCCTGTCTATAACCAGAGTCTCCCGTTCTGAGAACGTGTCAAATGTGTATAGATCTATACGGGAAGTCATGATCCCGCGCCCTGACTGTTAGCTACAGTCCGTCCTTTGGGGTGACATTTGTCATAACGCTGCAACGCCTGAAGAACGTCGTTACAGGCATATTATGTTTAGTATGGTTATAAAAACTCATCGGATATACAATTATTATGGTATTATGCTTTTATGAACGAGTGACTGTTAAAACTATTCTTCATCTAACAAATGCGATCTTCGTATAGCTTTATTATATAAAACTATGACACAACTTTTAAGAACGTCGTTTTCTTCCGATTTTCGGTCTTAGAGACTGCCAGTCATGTTAGGAAAATAAGGGTTTTTCCTGTATACAAACCAAACAACTAATAGGAAGATAAGGGATTTTCCTGGTACAATTATTTACAACTTATGACACGAACATTGATATGCATTTCATAGTTTTATAAGAAAATAAGGGTTTTTCTTGGAAGACACAACAAATCATATCTCAACCATTAGGGAAAATATGGGATTTTCTGGATCTAATACATTCATTTTCAACACAACAAGTCATAACTCTTCACACTTGAATTATTGAGTTTTCTGGAAAACATACACCCATTTTGGAATGGCATCCAATTTTTCTAAACTACTTACGAACTCACCAACTTAATTGTTGACACTTTTTCTTTGAATTAACTTGTATTCTCAGGGAACCGCTAAGCAGGTTTGGGAATCAACTTTTGGGATTAACACGCTGGCGTTAATTACTTCTTTTGAATGATGTTTATGTATTTATCTTTTGAACATGTAATGAATACAATTATGTAAACATCTTGGAAACTTTAATATATATGGTGGTGTGTACTTTCCTTTCTATGAACTGTTATGATACTGAATATGACGTCCTCCGCCCCCGAACGTTTCCGCCGTTCTGGTTTGGGGGTGTGACAGATTGGTATCAGAGTTTTGTTTATAGGGAATTAAGTATATCAAAACCATTTCTTTTTGGTATACAACTATAAACTCAACTGGGCAAAAACACTCTGAGAAAAGTCATACTTTTGAAATTAAATTTATTTAGTTTTAAGGTAAGTATGCACTCATTTTATACTAATAACAGTTTCATAGTAAATAACTTTAGAAGTATTAAAATAAGTTGTGCTGTACATGTACGCCTTGGGACATGTAATCGGAACTGGGAAGAATATAGCCTGATCAACTATATTTGTCCAAGAGCCGACTAACGTATGCCAAGGAGTGTCTGCAGTGGACAACGATTTTAAAACTTACCAAAAGCACATCATTACATAATACTAAGGGAGTTGTTGTGTTGCCGTCAACCCTTAAACTTAAGGGTAAGTTTCATGTGCTCTAGCTTATAGTAAATTTTTAACCCTAGTCTAAATGGCGGGATTCCATCACCCCAATGACCCCTACTACCCCAACCAAGATAATGGAGGATGGATCGAAGAAGATCCTGAAGAAGACGAAGAGCCTATAGAGTTGGAGGGAGCGGATGACTCTAGCACGGATTCGGAGCCAGAAATTATCAATCCACCAATCCCACAACCTCCTATCCACGTGAGGAATTTCCAAGGACCCACTCCTGTGTGGGGAAGTCACCTCCATCATTGGAGCCAACAACAAAGCTTACGCCCTCCCTACAGCATGTGCCGAGACTTCTATGATGTCAGAGGCGGGGGATCAGCCGACCGAGCACTTCCGGTCATGGTTGGCAAACTCGCCAACCAGTGCTATCAATCCGGAGTGCAAGCCAACCGAATCCGAGAGGTCAATGTGGAAGTACAAATCCACACGGTCGATATCAACCGCCTAGAGATGTTGCAGAACGACATCCACATTCGCGCCGAAGCATTTCAAGCACAAGCAAATGCAGCCTTCGCAGAATTGAGGGAACAACAAGCTGCGTTTGATAGGCGCCTCATGGAGTCGAAGCAGTCCGACACGGAGTCGAGCTCCAAACGCAAACCGCATCGCAAGTAGTACTTTCCCGACTCTCAAATTTTGTTATAAATTAGGACTTCGGATAAAAGTATTATTTTCTTAAAAATGTTCTGTAATCGGAGGCCTTTAGAAAGGTCAAGAACTTTTGTCTAGACCCCGCTGT